TTTAGATCCAGTCAAAGGGCCGTACTTGAGGACCTAGAGGGGATTTGTTCTGTGAAGTTTGGATTTAGTCAAAGGGCCACACTTGACGACTTAGAGGGTCACATGTGGCCTCAAGGCCTGCAGGTTCCCCACTCCTGGAATAGGCAATGAACCTGGGGTTTCATTGAGATAAGGAATTCTCAGCTAAGAGAACACTATATGAATACAGGTTGGCATCTTCTCTGAAACTTCTGGTCTTAGAGAGTGGCCTCGAGCACAGAGATGTTAAGTGATTTGCCCAGGGTCACACAGCCCCTGTGTGGCCCAGGTAAAACCATACTGGGTTGCTTCTCAAGATGCATATACAATATTCAAAGAAAAGACCGGGCAGAAGGGCAGGGAGGTGGGGCAGGAACAGCATAGTGTATGGAGAAGGTAAACTCGTGTGAGGAACTCCATTGGAACATACTACATACCCTGTAGATAGAAAGAAGAAGTAGGTGAACAGTCGTGGGGAGTGGGGGCACAGTGCCATGGTGATGGGGGACATCAGCAGGAGCTCTGTCCCTCTGCCAAAAGCAGAGCAACCACTACTTTCTTGATCTATCTGGATGTTCATTTTATCCTTCAATAGGTAGAGAGGAACCAACAAAGGGGAGTTATATTCTGGATTGATTCTTTTTTTTTCTGGATTGATTCTTGCTAACAGGGAGGAACCAGTTGCTGAGGTGGGGATGATGGGCATCCTGGAGGAAGTGATCACTCTCTCCTAGAGTTTATGATGGAAGAGAAGACAACCAGGCACAGACTGAGATGCACTCTAGATTTTAGGAGAGGTTCAAGAGGCAGGAAAGTAGGATCCTGTGGACTAATAATGTCCTGCAGAGGACGTCGCTCCTTGAGGGATGAATGACTTAAGAATGAATTCCTGAGGACACAGAGAGAAATCATTTCAAGGAGAAGGAAAAATGAGAGAGGGATGATGAAGTCACTTAGATTTTTCACTTGAAAGTACAGAAGAGAGAATTAAGGGTAAATAACAAAAAAATGAACACAAGAGCATAGTGGGACCTGTTGGGGGCTGAAGTTCAGAGTGAGTTGGAGCTGGTGAAGAAAGCTAAGGACCACAAATAAGAGTTTTTTTAGGGGAAGAGAAGGGGTTAAAAAAAGGAAGGATTAGGCCCACTGCTTGGGGTAGATGAGGCAGCGCAGAAGATGCAGAGCCTCCCTGCATGGCCCTAGGCCCTGTTGAGTGATGGTGGCTTTACTCCTGTGCCTCAACTGCTGTCTGGGCGAGTGGCCATATGCCACATTTCCAAATTGCTCTCCTCCTAGAAGAGAGGAAGCATGGCATAATGGGCAGCTGCTTCAAAGACACAGATATCTGTGTTCAAATCCTCTTTCTGTCAATGTGTCACCCTGAGCATCTCTTAATGTTCTAGGCTGCTCTTTATTTTATTCTTTTTTATTTTTATTTATTTTTTTTTTGGCTAGGCAGTGGGGTTAAGTGACTTGCCCAGGGTCACACAGTTAGTAAGTGTTATGTGTCTGAGGCCAGATTTAAACTCAGATCCTCCTGACTCCAAGGCTGGAACTCTATCCACTGCGCCACCTAGCTGCCCCATCTAGGCTGCTCTTTAACCACAGAGAAGGTGCTGACCTGCTTTGTTAAAGGGATTTTCCTCACCTGGGAGTTCCCTATGCCAATCAAAGCACTGGTCTAGTCCTACCCGTTTCCCCCCCCCCCCCCAAAATGAGTCCTAGCCAGTTGTTGCTGGTTCCATGATGCTTAACCTTGTTTCTTGCTTTCTTTTTTCCAGGTTATTCTTCGGCTGTGCAAAAATTTTCTCAGACCTTGCAATCCTTCCAGTTTGACTTCACTGGGGACACGCTGACAGATGATGAGATTAACATTGGTAAGTGTTTTCCTCCCCTTGAGGTATGTGGTGCCCTGTGCACCAGGGTCACTGTTCCTCCTCAAGAGGAAGGTCAATTCTAGATGAGCTGCCAAGGTACTTCAGGCTCTCCAAGCCCAAATCTGGGACTTGGGATCCACTGGAGGCCAATCCCTCACCCTCAGGTGAAAAGTTAGAGTCATGGGCCAGCTAGGTGGCACAGTGGATAGAGCATCAGTCCTGGAGTCAGGAGAACCTGAGTTTAAATCTGGTCTCAGACCAGACACTTGACACTTACTAGATGTGTGACCCTGGGCAAGTCACTTAACCCCAATTGCCTCACCAAAAAAAAAAAAAAAGTCGGAGTCATGGCTCCCTGCAAGACCAAGGATGATCCATAATGGAGATCCCAGAAGAAGTAGAGGTTGGTGATATTGTGGTAAAGACCATAGTTTGTACTTTTTAAAAAAGAAATTTCAATTGTTCATTCTGTACTTAAGAAATACCAAATAAATTGAGCATTTCTGTATTCAAGTTGAAAAGGAAAAGGAGGATTGTATGTGAAACTCTGAATCTCTATTATGAGCAGCTTACTTTGCATGTTGTATATATGATAAATTCAGCCTGTGACTTTCAAAGCTGTCCTGCTGGTCAGTTTCCTTCTGCTTTCTTCTGTGCATTTTAATGAATTGCTTTGATGACTCTCTTTTTCTTTTTTTAAATTAAATTTTAATTTTTTCTAATCAGTGAAAATCTATCTTCTCTCCTTCCCTTTTCCCCCTCCCTATTGTGAAAAAAAGAAAAACAAAACCTCAATTACAAATAAATAAATATGTGTGTGTGTGTGTGTGTGTGTGTGTGTGTGTGTGTGTGTATATATATATATATATATATGTATATAAGCAAAACCAGTTCCCTCATTGATCATGTCCAAAAAATATTAATTTTCTTTTTCTGCTTTTTGGAAGGGAGGGGCAACCCTGTCATTACTTTCCCTTTTCACTTCCCCCACCCAACTGATAAAAAAAGAAAGAAAAGCAAAATCCTTGTAACCAATATACATAGTTAAGCAAAACAGATTCCCACCTGGGTCATGCCTAAGAATGATGTCTTCTTCTTTTTCAGGATGTGGGTAACCCACTTCATTATCAAGACTTTGGGATCCTGCCTGTTTATTGTATTATACAGAGTTCTTTAGTCTTTCAGAGTGGTTTGTCTTTACAATGTTATTGTGATTGTAAAACTTGTTCTCATGGTTTGGCTCACATCATTTTGTTTCCATTCATACAAATCTTTCCCAGTTTCTTTGAATCCATCCTTTGAATCATTTCTTTTCTTTAATTTTTAAATTTTTTAAAATAAATTATTTATTTATTTTTAGTTTTCAACCTTCACTTCCATAAGATTTTTAGTTCCAAATTTTCTCCCCATCTCTTCTCATCGCCCCCCCATCAAGATGGCATGTAAATTGACATAGGCTTGTATTAAAGCTATTTTTCACACCTTGAATCATTTCTTATAGCACAATACTATTCCATTGCATTCATCTACCATGATTTGTTCAGCCATTCCCCAATTCACGGGCACCCCTTTAGTTTTCAGTTCTTTGTCGCTGCAAACAGAGTTGCTAGAAATATCTTTGTACAAAATAGGTCCTTTCCCTCTGTCTTTGTTCTCTTAGGCTGAGTAATGAGCTTCTTCGCTCAAACTTTTCTTGCACTCTTGAAGATGGGTCAGTAGCAGCATGGGGATGTGGGAGGGCTTTTTAAGAAAGAAATCCATAGGGCCAGCTATGTGGTGCAGTGGATAGAGCACTGGCCCTGAAGTCAGGAGCACCTGAATTCAAATCTGGCCTCATACCAAACACTTGACACTTAATAGCTGTGTGACCCTGGGCAAGTCACTTAACCCCAACTGCCTAAAAAAAAAATCCATAAAAATGGAGCTGGAAAGAGACTTCTTATTCTCTCATAAAAACAGCTTCTTTCCACTTGAATTTGCTGTGCATTTCGATCTACATTTCCGGTTCACTGCTGATCTTTATCATTGTTTAGCCCACAACTGGACTGTTGGTTTACCAACCTAGTGGCAAGGGCAGGAGCGGTGTGGGTGTGAGAACAAGGGCAAAGAAAATTATCTTATTGCCAGCTTTACGTGGATTGGGGCCAGTTTCTAAGATGCAGTCACTTATATCAACGAGAAAGGGGCAAGATACATGGTCTCTGTCTCTTTGCCTCTATGATGGCAAATCAACCACTTGCCCTCTGGTGAAAAATCAATATCTTTCTCTACCTCTACACATTCCCCCAGTCTCCCAAGAGAACTGAGCCTGCTCTGGGACTCTGATGAGTCCCATTTCCCCCACAGACTCTTACACAGTCTCCCCAAGACTTTTGGTATGACTCTGTGGATTAGGCTCCCTTGGGAAGGTCAACATTTTGGAGCTCACAGGACAAATAGACCCCCTTTTCATCAGACTTGCATTGTCTGTGTAGCACATTGACTTTGCTCTTCAAGTAGTGCCTTGGGTAAGAGCCACATGAGCTGCCCACTTGATGCTCCAAAGAAAATGCCAGATTAGGAAATCTTTCTTCAGAAGGTCTGATGCTTGAACTTGGGAACTCTTGGAACTTGGGATTCTATCCCTGAGCCAACTTCCAGAGCTGGTGCTGCCCAGGACATCTCAATTCTCTGGTTAGAAGGCTAGATTCTGGGATCAAGCTGCCAAGGAAATGAACTCTCACCCTTTATATGAGAGGTTGGGGTTGGGGAACAATGCCCTTGAATTTGTAGGGCTGTGTGAAGTTGATGAACATTTCTAGCTCTGTCCATTTATTCCTTTCTGAGTTACTAACTTCTCATCTTTCTCAACAATGAGATTGTCCTTTAGACAAATTTATAGCCTCAGTTTGGGTGATCTCCATTCAGCAGCTTGAACTCACTTGTTGCCCAAAATAATGGCTCTTGTCTTGTCTTCTGTTGACTCTATTCCTTGTTAGGGGATTAGGGCAATAGAAGCATTTCTGTTGTCTTCTCTCTGAGGTTTATGGAGGTTTATCTTGTCCTCAGGCACTTTTGGTAATGTAGGGATGTCTCTTTCCTGCTGCCAGGGGGAAAGTTGGGAAGAAATTGTTTCTTGAATTCAGAAAGTGGCAAAAACTCAGGGAAAAGACATTAGAGAAAAAGAAAAGAGGGATGTCCACCGATTGGGGAATGGCTGAACAGGTTATAGTATGTGAATGTGATGGAATACTGTTGTGCTACAAAAATGATGAAGGAGGTGATTTCAGAAAAAACTTGGGAGGACTTGTATGAACTGATGCAAAGTGAAAGGAATAGAACCAGAACATTGTACATAGTAACAGCAATATTATACAACGATCAATTGTGAATGACTTAACTATTCTCAGAAATACAATGATCCAAGACAATTCTGAAAGACTTATGATGAGAAATACTATCCATCTCCAGAGAGAGAACTGATGGAGTCTGAATGTAGATCAAAGCATACTTTTAAAAAACTTACTTTATTTTTCTTGTTTTTTTTTGGTGTGTTTTCTTTCAAAACATGAATAATATGAAAATATGTTTTGTATGACTGCACATGTCAAATTGCTTGCCTTCTCGATGAGGGAGGAAGGGAAGGAGGGAGGGAGGGAGAGAATTTGAAACTCAGAGTTTTCAGAAACAAATGTTAAAAATTGTTTTTACATGTAATTGGGGAAAAATAAAATATAAAATAAACCAACAAAATAAAATAGAGTATATTTTGATGACTATATTTCAAATATTAAAAAAAGATGTGAGTTTGAATCCTACCCCAGACACATACTATCTGTGTAACTCCAGAAAGTCACTTAACTTCTTACTCATCTGTAAAACTGGTGATAATAATAGCACCTCCCTCTTAGGGTAGTTATGAGGATTAAATTAGCTTTCACATGTATATAAGTGTGTGTGTGTATATGTGTGTGTGTGTGTATGTGTGTGTGTGTGTGTGTAGAGAGAGAGAGAGCACTTTGCAAACCTTAAGATGCTATCTACCTGCTAACTATTGTAATAGTAATTATTATTTTTATTGGCTAAGGAGCCAGCCTGGGTTCAAGCTCAGCCTAGCTGTGTCATGTCACCTAAGTCACTTAGCCCTTCATTGCACCTCCCAGGCTTCTCTGGAAGTTGCAGAGCAGGCACTGGTCTTCCTTGGGAGAGGAGTTTCCTTATTAGTGAGTTTCCATGCCAGTGAAATCACTGGTCTGGTCACTACCTACCATAATGAGATTATCGCTGCTGACAGTATATGCTTCACAGGCTAGGCCTGAGGATTGAGAGAATAGCTTTAAAAGGACTTCACGATGTAAGCTAGTCTTTGGCTCCACTCAGTTTCCCTAGCACAGGACTCGATAATCTTTTTTTTCTTTTTTCCCTGATTCAGAGGTGGTCCAGCTGAACGCAATACCTGTGGGTGTCCTTGGCCGGCCTAGTCTGTGGTTGGTCTAAGTGAAGTTCATTCTGGGATCTTGTCAAGTATTAGAAACTAATTAGCCTCTTTTTCTGGTTTCTTCTTACAGCGGAATCTTTTAAGGAATTTGCTGAGCTCCTCAATGAAGTTGAAAATGAGAGGATGATGATGGTAGGTGTGCACCATTGAGCCTGTGAAGGGCTCATTGGCAGGCAAGCATGTTAGTGGCCTCCAAGAGGAAATTTGGGGGTGGGGGGGAGTTACTTCCCAGGTGGTCCTCTTCTATGTGAGCTGCTGTTTCTCAGTATTTCTGCTGAGCCAGGAGAGGTCTGGAACTGTGGTTTCCTTTGTAGCAATCAAGATACTTGAATAATGGACTTGTTTGCAGTATCTCAAGTGCCCATCATGGGAGTTTGCCATCAAAGCAGCAGCGAATTAGTATGGAAATCTTGTCTCTGTTTGCTTCAGCTAAAAAGGACTTCAGAAGAGATGGAATTAGGCTAGAATAACAATGTTGAACACACTGATGGTTTTAAAGAAAAATTAACTGAAGAATTTAAAAAAATTATAAACCTAGTAACACCATCAACAAGTAATCCAAACACAAATTGTGGTGACTTAGCCAAAGCTCTGACTTTGAAGTCCAAGGACCTCTGCTCATAGCCTGGTTTTTCTGGTGTAGAATTTAGACCTGGGAGAGGCCTTAGAAATGATCTAGTCCAGTGGTTCCCAAACTTTATGTAATGATGGTCCTGTTTTATTACCCCCCATCTGCACTCTTCATCAAACAGTCTACACAAATAATTTTCTTTGCTCATCTTTCATTTAAATAAAATCAAAATTATTATAAATTTTTTATTTTATCACAACCATGAAACATAATAACATAACACCCATATTCATTTATTGATTAAAAAACCCCTTCAAATGGTCATATTTGTAACTTATAGAAGTATTAGCCATAATATTACCTAGGGGATGATGAATGAACTTGTTTTTTTCAACTCAGTTTCTCAAAACGTGGTGTATGGACGACAATGGTACCTGTAATTCCATTTCAGCCACTATTGAAATCTCTATTTTCTTTATAAAGCCTATAGCTGAAAATCCATCTCATACTAACAAGATGTTGTGAGTAGTAGTAAAAATTTGTATTGCTTTGTTTGGTAAAACAAAAAGCTGTTTACTCCCTTATAGCCAAAAAGATAATAGGATTTTCAAGTTCAAATGTTTGTTTCTATGTGACCTTCTACGATGTTTATTTACTTCTTGTTAAGATGGAATAAATCAAGTCAACAAGCATTTATTAGGCACTTCTTCTGTGCCAGACACTTGTGCTAAGCACTGGGGATACAAAGAAAGACAAAAGACATTCCCTGCTTTCAAGAGAGCACAGTGTGACAGGGGAGACAATATGCAAACACCTATGTACAAATAAGATATAGACAGGAGAAATTGGATTTAATCTGCAGAGGGAAGGACATGGCATTGAGGAAAACTGGGAGAGGCTCTTAGAGAAGGTGGGCTTTTATCTGGGAGTTGAAGGAAGTCAGGAGGCAGAGATGAGGAGGAGAAAGTTCCAGGCATGGGAGACAGCCAGGGAAAATGCCCAGGATCAGGAGATGCAATGTTGTATTTGAGAAATCATGTCAAGTGTCACTAGATTGAAGAGAATGTAGGCGTGAGTAACGTGTAAGAAGACTGGACAGACAGGAGGGGAACAGGCTACGAAGAGCTTTGAACATCAAAGAGAGGTTTTTATGTTTTATCTTGGAGGTAACAAGGAGTTTATAAGATTTATAAGTGATTACTTATAAATTTATAAGGTAATACACTGGACTTTGTTGAATAAGGGGAAGAGGTGACCTGGTCGGACCTGTACTTTAGGAAGATTGATCTGAGTAGAAGATGGGTTGGAGTGGGGAGAGATCTGAGGCCGGGGGACCAACTAGCAAGCTATTGGACATTGGTCCAGGCATGTGTTGATGAAGTGGTGACAGTGTCAGAGGAGAGGAGGTGTCTCTGAGAGATGTTGTGCAGATAGAAAGGAAAGGAATTGGTAACTAATTGGATCTATGGGGTGCGAGTGGGTAAGAAATTGAAGATGACACCCAGGTCGGGAGCCTAGGGGACTGGGAGGATGGTGGTGCCATCTGCAGTAAGAGGGAAGTTAGGAAGAATAAGACCAATTCTATTATATTTGTCCATAACAAATGAGTTCCTTAGCCTTTTGTACTTAGAAATATCTAGATCTTTAAAGTAAAATGAGAATGTTTCTGCAGACTGGTCAAGCAATGAATAAATTGGTCTTTGCTCTATGTTGTTTGCAGAGCAGATATTTTTTAAATTTGGAAAATATCAAATATCATTTGGTCACCACTTTATCCATAGCTCTAATTTGTTCATAAATGTGATCATTTTGTCTTTCTGGATCACAGTATGGATTTGAGGCCCTCAAAGTGATTTGTCTGAGTACTCAATCTTTCCAAAGTACCCATAAAATATGCAAGTTTTAGGAGGAAATTTTGTCTATATGATGCATTTGCTTCATCTTTGTTACTACCACCAAGAAAAATGGTTATTTCTTCTTTCAGCCCCAACACTGTTCCAAGGGCTTTGGCCCAAGAAAAACAGCACATTATATACCAGTGCCCTGTTGCTGTACCTCTATACAAGTTTTTCAAAGAACTTTCCTTTTAATGGACCCTTTTCTACAAAGTTGCTTAAAACTCTTGTAAAAACGTGGAAACCAGTGTGGGGCTCTTTGGTGATACTTTTCGATGCAGGTTATTGGTTTGAAGTGTGTAGTGTGTTCAAATTGCTTGGGGGGGCCATTTTTAAGTAGTACTTTGGACTCGACCTCGATGCAGCTCCATTAGTGAAGAGTCTAACACAATTCTCTCACATTATATTATATTCATTGAAAAAGCATGAATTTATATTGACAATTTCTCTCAACATGGTATCACCACCTTTAGGTTGGTACAATGACAAGTCTTTCTGAGTGTCAGTTTCAACGCCGTGTTGCACATGTAGAATCAAAGGAGCATCTTTACATCTCTCACTTCATCCACTTGCAGTGTAAGATAGGAAGATTTTAGATTCTCAACTATCATGAAGGTCTTCGGCCATGTATGTGGGCATTGCTCCTTCCAACTGCGTTAAGGAGTGAGCACCTACTATGTGCCAGGCATTGTGCTAAGCACTTTAAAAATATGATCTCATCTGATCCTCGCAGCACTCTTGCGAGGTAGGTGTTATTTTCCCCATTTTACAGTTAAGGAAATTGAGGCAGACAGAGGTGAAGTGACTTGTCCAGGATCATACAGCTAATAAGTGTCTGAGGCTGGATTTGAACTCAGGTCTTCCTGACTGTAGGCTCAGTGCTCTGGCAGCACAATCTATGCCACCTAGCTGCCTCTTATTACCATTATTAATGTATTAGATGTATTATTATTAATATAACAATCTAATAGAGGAATCATGATATGTCTTTTATTACCATTCAAAACTGCTCTGTGCATGATTTGCTAATGATCATTTGACCCTGATCAATAGCTACCAGTAGCCTCAGACCGGCTCCCATCATAATATTTCCAGTGGGCAATTCTGTAGACAGCGGGGACTTTTGTTGCAAATAATACATTTCCAAGATGCCATTTCATTATATTAGGTTTCATCTTCAGTGATCTTTGCTCTCCCTCAACAGCAAAACTTGTGAATCTCAATTCAAAGCATCCTAGATTCAAATTTCGAGATTGGAGCTCTTTCCTTTCCATTTCTGTGTTTTTATTCCTTAAGCTGCATCTGTGTTCTTTTATTTGTATGAGTTTCAGCTGTTCCATTGGATAGGCTTCAAATTCATTATGTATTTATCCATTATGAAGGGATATTATTTCCCTCTAAAAATGAGAGATAATAAACATCTGATACAAATTTAAATTTAACTATTGGAATTTCAAATGAATCTCTATAATCTCTTCAGTTATTTCAGCATTGGCAGGATTTGGGGGGGAACCAGCTAATTATATCATACCTGCTAAAATGAATGTTGAGAAATATAACAGATATCCTATTTTTTCCTGTACTAATATTGTTTAGGCAAATAACAACTATTTCTGTTCTCCCCAGAAACCCTGAGGGCCTTCCCCTCCCAGATTGATTCTTTCATGAAGGCAAATTAGGCCATCTTTTGTCTCATTTCTGACCTAGCCTTTAATCACTGAGTGGATGTTGACTCAGACAAACTGAGACCTTAGCTTAAAAAGGCCAAGGTGTCCCACTACATCTGGGGTCATCTACAGTCGTCCTGACCTGTGTCTTGCCACTGGGCTCTGATGGCTCTGGAGGAGAGAGTGAGGCAGATGACTTTGCACAGCCCAGCCTCACTTAAGTCTAATTCACTTGCAAGTCAAGACATCACCCTCCTGATGTCATTGGTTCTCTTTGAGAACGAAAGCCAAACAACAAGATTGTTTAAGTTTGAACTTTCGCACTGTGTATTTAACTGTAGCACAAAGTATAAAATGTAGCTCATTTGTGTTAGCAGCCTATGCTGAATGACCCATATCAAGATTTGGCTCTCATTACCCCAAATTTGATCTTGCTTGGGCATTTCATTTTGAATTGTCATTGCTAAGTCTTCATTTCAGGAAAGGTCCTATCTAGTTTTGGTGGAGGGAGCGTCCTCACCTTAGAGTTCCCTGTATCAATGAAATCCCAGGTCTAGTCCCTATCCCTATCCATAGAGCTAGGAGAGATCTCAGAGTCAACTCATTTTACAGAGGAGTCCCACAGAGGTTATGTGACTTGCCCAGGGTCACATAGGTAGTGAGTGGTAGAGCCAAGATAGGAAGCAGAGTTCTCTGTATTTTGATACAGGAGATCTAGCGTTCTCCTTACTGGGCTGCCCTCTATTCATTGTGTCCGAAGGAATGTCGCAGAATCTTGGTGTTGGAAGGGACCTTAGTGGCCATTTTGTCTGACCTATAACTGCTGCTATTCCCCCCAAATCCCCTCTATGGCTTAGCCAATGATTGACTGTCTAGCCCAGGGGTGGGAAGATATGGCCTCGAGGCCACATGTGGACCTCTGGCTCCTCAAGTGCGGCCCTTTGACTGAATCCAAACTTCACAGAACAAATCCCCTTAATAAAAGGATTTGTTCTGTAA